TAACCAGATTACCGGCTCTATCCCGATATCCATATTCAATATCTCATCGCTGCAATCATTGTTACTGTGCGGCAACAATCTTAGTGGATTCTTACCACGGGAGATTGGCAACTTAACCAAGATGCAATTCTTAATTCTTAAGGAAAATAGGTTTACTGGTACGTATTCAAAGTTATAGCGATCTGTATTGAGCTAGTTAAACTCATTCTTTCTTCACGTGTTGACAGGTGAAATACCCAAAGATATAAGAAATCTCGTTGAGTTGGTGGAATTTGATGTTGGGTTTAATAGTTTTAGTGGTTCACTTCCAATGGAGATCTTCAACATATCACGACTGAGAACAATTCAACTTTCAGCCAACAATCTATCAGGAACTATACTACCAAACATAGGTTCTACCTTACCCAACATTGAAATACTTTATCTGCATACCTTAACCAATCTTGTTGGGACTATTCCTCATTCTATCTCCAATTGTTCAAAGCTTACTCATCTAGAGCTTTCACAAAACAAACTCAGTGGCTTAATACCCAATTCTCTTGGATATTTGACTCATCTAAACTTCCTAAACTTGTGGGGAAACAATTTAACCAGTGATTCATTTTTAAGCTTCCTCACTTCCTTAACCAATTGCAGAAGATTAACAACTCTTTCTCTATCTTTCAACCCTCTAAATGGCATGCTTCCGGTCTCCGTAGGGAATTTCTCCAAATCTCTTGTAAAGTTTTATGCCGCTGCTTGCAAGATTAATGGTCAGATTCCAAATGAAGTTGGCAACTTAAGCAGCGTATTAGACCTTGATCTTTCTAATAATAACTTGATTGGATCAATTCCTACCTCAACTCGTAACTTGAGAAACCTTCAGCGCCTGTACTTGAACAACAACAAGCTTACGGGATTTATTGGAGATAATTTATGTAAATTGCAGCATTTGGGTGCTATTTACTTGGGACAAAATCAACTTTCAGGATCTCTTCCTAATTGTTTAGGGAACGTCACTTCCCTTAGAGAGATACATATGTATTCCAATAAATTGAGTTCCAATATACCAATAAGCTTACGAAATCTTAAAAATCTAATGCCTCTTAACTTGTCATCAAACAACATGGTTGGTTCTTTACCTCCGGAAATTGGAAATCTAAAGGCTGTGAATTATATGGATCTGTCAATGAATCAATTTTCAAATGGAATTCCTAGGGAAATTGGAGGATTGCAAAATCTGGTGCATCTTTCTTTGAGACACAACAAGTTGCAAGGATCTATACCTGACTTAGTGAGCAACATGGTTGGTTTGGAATTCCTAGACATTTCTCATAATAATATATCAGGAACCATTCCTATGTCTATGGAGAAACTTCAATACCTCAAGTATTTCAATGTTTCTGACAACAAATTGTATGGTGAAATACCCTTGGGGGGGTCCTTTCAAGAACCTCTCGAGTAAGTTTTTCATCGACAATGAAGCATTGTGTGGTTCTTCAAGATTTAGTGTCCCGCGATGCCCCACTTCATCAAAGCATAGATCAAATAGGAAACAAATGTTTGCTCTATTTCTTATGCTGGGAATTGCACTTGTATTTGTTCCTATTGCCTTTGTGTTCGTATGGATAAGGTATAGAAGAGGTAAAAGAGTTCCTCAACGACCTGATTCATTGTCTATCGCAACAACAGAAAGAATTTCATACTATGAACTGCTCCAAGCAACTGATACGCTTGGCGAGAGTAATCTGATTGGTTCTGGAAGTTTTGGCTCTGTCTACAAAGGCGTTCTCAGAAGTGGAACTGCCATTGCAGTTAAAGTGTTCAATCTGCAACTGGAAGCGGCATTCAAGAGTTTCGATATAGAATGTGAAGTTTTGCGTAGCTTCGCCATAGAAATCTCGTGAAAGTCATCACTAGTTGTTCCAACCTTGATTTTAAGGCTTTAGTGCTCGAGTATATGCCTAATGGAAGTCTTGACAAGTGTTTGTATTCGCACAACTACTTCCTAGACATCAGGCAGAGACTAAGCATTATGATAGATGTTGCATGTGCTTTGGAATATCTTCATCATGGATGCTCCTCTCCGGTGATTCACTGTGACCTGAAGCCTAGTAACGTCTTGCTGGATGAGGATATGGTTGCCCACCTAAGCGACTTTGGCATTTCAAAACTACTTGGTGAAGATGAGAGTGATTTATACACTAAAACGTTAGCAACGTTTGGTTATATTGCACCGGGTACGTCTCTTTGTTTTTGCTAATTTGAACATTGATTTTTCATTTTTTTTTCTAATTCAAGAAAGTATATTGCATATTTAAATTAATTCTCTGACTGTAGAGTATGGACTGGATGGACTGGTGTCAATAAAATGTGATGTCTATAGTTACGGGATCATGTTGCTGGAAACGTTTACTAGGAGAAAGCCTACTGAGTTTGAGGGAGATCTTAGCTTGAAGCAATGGGTGAGTTATCACTCCCCGAGGCAGTAATGGACGTTGTAGATGCCAATTTGGTAACAATACCAATGGATAATCGCTTACAGAAGGAGCTAGATTTAGCACTTGATTTGTGCATGATTCAGTTTTCAGAAATTCTAGATGGTTGCAATAAATATCACTATTTCATTTGATTACCGGCAAATCTTGAAACAGAATGAGTTCAGTGCTTCTATCCTTTGTTTTGTGCTTTTTACTGATGCAGAGGATGAGTGAGTTTGTGTTCTTTTACCTTTAATTTTGCGCAGTATTCTTATGTAATGTGTTGGAGCAAAATGCATTTCAAGTATTTGAGCATTTCAATATTTAATCATGTGTAATGTGATTGTGCAACATTTCATTTACTACCCTATAATCTTTCTATAAATAGTGAAGGCTTTCATTATTTTATATACAAGAAAACATAGAGGGTAAAAGAGGAAAAGTATTATATCGTGTTTATATTGAGATTAGTGTAGTGAAAGAGAATGTTGAGATAGAGAAAAAATATTCTAAGTCTTCTGCTAATTATATGTTGTCAGTGTCGGTTAAATGGGAAAGCCACTAAATCAAGTGTTTTAGACAATTAGACCCCAGGTGAAAAAAAAAGAAAAGACAATTAGTGAAATACATCTGGTACGACAATTGGACAGGCTTGGGATCACTTTATCATGTCTTACCAGAAGCCAAGGAAGATGAAATAGAGGTCAACACTTTCACAGGGATGGAAGGATGGAATATACATGAGTGACGGGATTGTATGCCAGAGTAGTATGTGCAGCATATTATTAGAAACATACCACCTCCAGATATTAATAGTGATATTGACCAGGCAAAGTGGATGCTGGAAACAACGGGGAGATTCTCTGTGAAGAGTGCTTGGGGATACATAAGACTGAAAGAGGAAAAGGAAGACATTTTTAAGCATATGTGGATTAACAAACTGCCTTTCAAAATGTCATTTTTCCTTTGGAGACTATGGAAGTTTAGAATTCCAATAGATGAAGTTTTGCAAAATATTGGAATTCAACTTGTATCTCAATGTTGGTGTTGCCAAAATCCTAATGGGGAGACTATGTCGCACCTTTTTCTAACCTCATCCATAGCTGCAAGGCTATGGAGATTGTTTGCTAATTTTGCAGGAATAAATATCAAAGGTTTGCAGCTTTCACAAGTGATTCAAAAATGGTGGACAACACCATTTTGCTCAAAGCTAAGACCTATTATCACTGCAGTACCAACAATTATTCTATGGTATTTATGGAAAAGAAGGAGTAGTATCAAACATGGAAGAAGGATGAGTTACAACAGTCTGATTTATAGAGTTAGCAATGACATAAGGAGTAGTATCAAACATGGAAGAAAGTGTGGCGCCACAGGTTCGATCAAACATGGGAGTATGCATCTTTGAGGAAGGTTTTGTCTAAGCAGATGCTTTCCTTTTCCAGATTCATCGGATATGGAGATTTTTGTTGTTGTCTTTTTATTTTTATTTTTTAATTATTACTGTATTTTAACTTACTCTTTTGAGCTTGACACTGTTTGTCTTTAGCTTTGAACCTTTGTGTTTCATATTAAATAAAATGGCCCCATGGGTTATTACTGCAAAAAAAAAAAAAAAAAGTTAGTGAAATACTAATTCAAATTTATACTCTTTTCATCTCTATTTTTGTGGCTTTTTTTCTTTTTTTCTTTGTATCAAGAAGGATGACAGCTTTTCATATTTAATAAAAATATGATGTTAAAATCTCTCATTTTAACATTAATGAAATAATTATTGCATAATTTTTATAATTGTTTTACACTATAAATTTTAAAAGTCTTTATATATATATATATTTTTATAATTATGCACTATCTAATCAAATACCTTCACATGAATTAGAGAACATAAACATTATGCAATATATAAAAATGATGAAGTCTCTTGCTTGTTTTTTACTTGGAAAAGGAAAAATAGAAAAGGAAATTGTAAGATGAGAATCGAACCCTCACCAATAAGGTGAAAATTCAGATAGTCAATGAACTGAACTATTGAGAGTTTTTTGACAAAGTCTATTGAAGAGTTAATTATATTTTTACTAGGTAATTTACCCGCGCGAAAATAATCTTTCTAAGCTTTTGAACAGCCTTTCCAATAATCGAATGTTATAAGAAGAAAAAAAGTAAATTTTAGTAGGTTTTAAGAACATTTCAACAGAAATTAAATGATTTGACATTACCACATATCTCAAGAATTTTAAGTATATAATGAATGATTAAAATATCTTGATATGTAATCATTTTTATCTTTTACATAATTTATCATAATATATGTTTGATGATATAATTGTCTTGTTAAAACTGAGTGATGTTTTTATGTAGCGATGAAACATACTCTTTTTTTTTTTGTACATAAAAAATATAGAACTAATAATTTTATGATTAGAATAACTCGTTAAAAACAAATTATATAAAAGTTTTTGATAATCAATATTAGTTATAAATAAGTTAAGACCGTTAAAAATGTACACCACAACAACATAATTATTTTTTTTTAGAGACAATCTACTTGTCTGATGTCAAACGCTCACCACTTTTCAGTATTGTTACTTTGTTACTCTAACAAAATTTATAGAAGGAGAAAAATAAATTTAATGTAGTCATGTAGCACAACTTTAAGTGAAAGGTAAAGTTGTTGAAGGGCAAAATGGTCTTTCAACATTGCACTCGGAAGCTTTCCATTTCTAATAAATAAAATATATAAAAGAAAATTAGATGTAGTCATGTAGCACAACTTTAAACCACAGAATATTTACTATAGAGAAAATGAAAGCAAGACTTGGTAGATTCACATTCTTTATTGTCCTTTTTATCATCCTCAACAAATTAAGTGAAAACAACAACAACAACAAGACAATGGAAAGTTTTGCTAATTTATCTACTTATCTAAAATGAGGGGTTTCAACAGTACTTGAAATCAAACTGACAACAACCAATGTAGACACATTTTTTTTGTTTAATAGTTTAGTATGCATGAAGAAAAGTCCCTTTAAAAAAAGATTAGAAAGAAAAGTCTCATAAACACTTTCCTACTAATATTTTTACATATGGAGAAAGCCTTAAGATCTTTTCTCTTAACACTACTCTGGTTGCTTCACTATGTTATGCCTAGTTCAACCATGACTCGTACCAACGTTTCTACGGATCAATTAACTCTCCTCTCTTTGAAATCTCAAATTAGTTCCGACCCTTTCCATTACTTGGATGAAAGTTGGTCTCTCAATATTTTTGTTTGTCATTGGGTAGGAGTCACTTGTGGTTCTCGCCACCAGCGAGTGAAGGCCTTGAATTTTTCCAACATGGCTCTTGCAGGGAGGATTCCCCATGATTTTGGAAACCTCACATTTCTTGTTTCTCTTGACTTGGGAAGCAACAACTTCCAGGGAAATTTGCCTCAAGAAATGGCACACTTGCGTCGGCTTAAGTTTCTTGATTTAAGTTTGAACAAATTTAGAGGGGAAATTCCTTCTTGGTTTGGGCTTTTACACCAACTTCAATATGTAAGTCTTAGAAATAATAGTTTCACTGGTTCACTCCCATCTTCATATTTTAATATTTCAAAGCTTGAAACTTTGGATTTGGCATATAATTCCTTAAAGGGTCAAATTCCAAAGGAGATTGGAAGTGTTGAAAACCTGATATATTTAAACTTGGATGGAAACAAACTCATAGGGACTATTCCTCTGGCAATATCAAATGCCTCAAGATTGAACCTTTTAGATTTATCTCGCAATCAATTTCAAGGGAGCATTCCAGAAGGGATTGGCAATCTTCACAACCTAAATTTGTTGTCCATAGAAGATAATCAACTTACGGGTTCTATACTGTCACGCCCCGAGCCTACACCCTGGGCGGGACCGGCACTCGGAGACCATTGCTGGCCCCAAGCGAACCCTTGGCCTGGCTTTCTTAACTCAATGGAAACATAACTCAATAGAATAACTCCATGCCATGCGAAGACATAAAACAACATTATTGATAAACTCTGGCCAACCAGGCAACTCGAGTCTCAAAATAGAATATTATATATATACATAGATGAGAGACTCAAAACTAACTGACTGACTGTCTATGAAGCCTCTAAAATACTGAGATGGATGTTGGGACAGACCCCTCAATATCCTAATAAAACAAAACTAAGAGAATCAACATAACCGAGTCCTCCAAAAAGCAAGGAGGCTCACCACTGACTCTGGAGTGCTCAGCTGGATCAACAACGTGCTGGATGTTGATCCGAGGTACCTGTGTCTGCATTGTAACAAGATGCAGGACAACTTGCATCAGTACATGGAATGTATAAGTATGCGAGCTAGAAAGCTAAACCACAACTTAAGCT